TCGACCTGCTGGGCTCCGGTGATCCTTCCACCCCAGCCTTCCAAGTAGCTGGAACTACAGGCGCGCGCTACCACACCCGGGTAATATTTTTGATTTATTGTAGAAATGAGGTCTCGTCAAGTTGCCCAGGTGGGTCTCGAACCCACATGCTCAGGCAACTCACTCACCTCGGCCTCCCAAGGCACAGGATTACAGGCTGAGCCACCGAGCCCGGCAAAAGCCACTATTTTTTATTTTATTTACTTACATATTTTTGTAAAGATGAGATCTCAATATGTTGCCCAGGCTTGTCTTGAATTTCTGAACTGAAGCAATCCTCCTGCCTCGGCCTCCCAAAGTGCTAGGGTTTCAGGTGTGAGCCACCATGCCTAGCCTCACTATTATTATTATTGTTATTACTACATCAAAATGACTGACTTTTGTACACCTGATGATTATTGAGATGCTGAAAAGTTTGCTTTAAACAGAATCAATGTTGGAAAAACAATATATAAATGAAGATATATAGTAGTACCACATTTCATTTTTAGGTGGGTTTTATAAGCAGATAGTTTGTGTTTTGTCAGTCTGTCTACTTATAGGCACATTATCAAAATCTGGGTTTTGATGCAGAGGAGATTGAGAATGAGAGCTAAGCTATATCATAAATAGTTACTTTAACTCATAGATTCTCGTTTATGATTGGGATCTTTATATAGTCAACTTTCTAGCTGTGTGACCTTGGGTAAGTTACCTGGCCTCTTTGAGCCTCAGGATTTTGTTTTGTTATGTGTGTCCTGCCTGTAAAAATAGAAATAATAATGGTACCTGTGTTGTAAGGATTAGTCAATTTATATAAAATAATTATAACAGTGTCTGGCACATAACAATCAATGAATGATTAAGCATTAGCCTTTATTATGGTGGTTTATTATTGCTGTTATGAATCACCTAAAGCAAGACTCCATGAGTCCGTGATTTCCTCATCCTCACCTCAAAATCCCTAGTAACTTTTCTGCAAACCTGTAAATAAATAAGTGATTAAGCCATAAGTCATCAGCAAGCTTACTTTTTGCTTATCTCTGTGCTGGTTTTGGCAAGGTCAGGGACCTGATGTGTAGAAGACCATCTGTGTGGAGGGAGGATAACCTTTCTAATAATTGCTGGCATCCCCCTTGGATTTTGCAAAATATGACCAGGAGACCCACAGTTTGCCAAGTTCAGCTAAAGTATGCTTTGTAGTCAGCAAAGATTGTTTCTTATAAACTTCCTATTTAAGATCCTATAGGACTGTGGAAACCTCAGGGGTAACTTCACTGCACAGCAATAAAATAGACAGGTCTGTTAGTTAGCATAGTCTCTGACTCAGGAAAGAGGTATTATTTTATCATGCATAAGTTCTGCTGGATTCTTTTCTTTAAAGCTATTGTTAGAACTAGAGTTGGAACAATTAAGAATATGAGTAAATCAAAAAGATACATTGCCACTATTAGAATTAAACTAAGGGCGTCAAAAGAACAAACTACTGATACTAATAACAACATGAATGTATCTCAAGTGCATTTTGCAAGATTCAAAAGGCACATGCAGTGTGATTCCATTTACGTGACATTATGGAAAAGGACAGATCAGTGGTTACCAGGAGCTGGTGGCACAAGCAGAGTTGGGAGAGTGTTGACTGCGAAGGGGCACAAGAACAATTGAAGCATGATGGAAATACTTTGCATCTTGACTGTTGTAGTGGTACTGTGATTGTATGCATTTGTCCAAACTCCTAGAACTGTGTATTTAACCCTCAAGTATATTTGTATAACCTTGATAGTTTCATGATGACAAGAACATTTTTTTCTTGTTAGCTGCTCTGCCTCCTGTGTCTACTACAATGCTTCAATAAAAACATCAACATTCAATAAAATATTGCCAAAGAAATGAATGAATAGCGTTTTCACATACCTTTTTTTTTTGAGTTGGAGTCTCACTCTGTCACCCAGGCTGGAGGGCAGTGGCACAGTCCTGGCTACCGCAGCCTTGACCTGCTGGGCTCCGGCGATCCTTCCACCTTAACCTTCCAAGTAGCCGGAACTACAGGCATGTGCTACCACTCCCGGATAATTTTTGATTTTTTGTAGAGATGAGGTCTTGCCAAGTGCCCAGGTGGGTCTCAAACCCACGGGCTCAGACAATCCTCTCACCTTGGCCTCCCAAAGTGCTGGGATTACAGACTGAGCCACTGAGCCCGGCCCACATACCTAACTATTGCTGGACGTTTATTACTTCTTTGACATGCTGTCAACATAAGACCAAACTTATTTTTTCTGAGAAACCTCTACCCTTCCATCAATTTCCAACCTGGTAATAGTGCCACCCCCTTCCAGTTATCTGATTTTGGAATCTTGAGTTACTTTAAACTTAATTCTCAACCAAGGTATGCAGACAGCTATGATGTCTTCAGCACCTATCCCTTAAGTTATCATCACTGTCACCCTGTTTTGCTCATTTTATCTTAAGCCCAAGCCACTCAGTCATTTCTTAATAACTTTATTCAAATATATATATATATTTGGCTATGACTCACCTTGTATATTGCCATATGTGGAATCTTTCTAAAACTTTCCTTTGTATACATAATCCTACTTCCAATAGAAAGAAAAGCATTTGGTAGGCTTCCTCTCATTGACAGGATATTTACCATTCAGTGTTATTCAAACCTACTAATATTACCAGACTATTTACCATTCAGTGTTATTCAAACCTACTCACTGTAGCTGTACAGGAACCTTTCCCTCCAAACACACCAATTAGATGCGTGTTTGGTCATTATGCAGACATGCTCCTGGCCATCCCCAAACCTTTCTTCTTTCTATCCTCTTTGCCTGGCATATGCTCTTGCTGTATCTCTCTAAGTGTCTAAGATATACTTTCCTTTTGACAGCTGGATTTCCATTCCTTGTCCACAGAGCCTTCAGCTATTCAGAACTTTGGGGCTTGGTCCTATTAGAAGACATTTTCTATTTCATATATAAATCTTTACCTTGAGAAATTTCTATCTAGTACTTTGCTGAAGTATCTTTTACTGTAGGATACTATAAAGTATAATAGAATTGAGGACATGCTCTAGAAGCAAAGTAGACCAAAGAATACTCTAAGCCAGTGTCTAATTTGTGTATAAAAGCCACATTTGAAACTGTATAAATGCTATGAAGTTCTAGGAATGCTGAACACACAGGAGATCTACTGTTTTGCCTGCAATATCTGTTCTAATGTGGACAGCAAACATGTTACATATTACAGCAGCATTGAAATGAGGTCTTTTTATGTGAAGTAAAGTCTTTAGGTAAATAAGACAACAGTAGTTAAATAATTTGTGACCTCAGAAGTTGAAATAAGAACTATGTAGTTACCAAATCCCACAATTAATCAAGGTTTCAATTTGTGTTAATAAATTGTGTGTATCCAGCCTCCCCATTTCTTAATGGTATCCAGATTTGGTTAGTGTATGTACCCCACTACTATGTAGCTATTTCTTCTGGGGAAACTGACTTTATTTCCATATCAAAAGGGAGTGGTGCTTGAATAGTGAGAGAATCCAAGTACACAGTGATTGGTTCAGGAGCCAATAAGACAGGAGGATATACACACAGAGGGCTTTGGCAATAGCAGGCTGACTATTCTTCAGGCCGACCCATGGGAAGAGATCTCTCTTTGGGGCTCCATGAGAATGAGAGTACATGTAGACTTCAGTGCTCTGAGCTGCCATCCCATAACCACAAGAATGAAGCCAATAAACTTCATTATTGTTTAGACCAGGCTAAGAGTTATTTATGTATTTGGGGCCAAAAGCATCTTGATCGATATATGATACATGTGCAGTATATTCCATGGAATTAAACAACTTGAGTGATTTTTAAGCATTTACTGTTTATAAGGAGAAAGAGATAAAAGCTCAGTACTTAGTGAACGAACAATGTGACTTTCAAACTTATAATAAGTAAACACAAATGCATAGTAAATACATAAGAAACCTATTAACATTTCAGTGTAAGATATATTACTCTTTTCATATTCATGAGAAATATTCCCGTGCATCAGTCTTATAAGCCCTTGGTTTTGTTTTGCATTTTTAAGCCAGATCTATTGGAACATAATTTACAAATAGTAAAATGTGCCCTTCTTGGTGTATACTAAAGAAATAATAAGTGGGATTTAATTCAAAATAATATAGACAGAGAAGTAAGAAGGATCATGGATAAAACAAAAGTTGATAATTGTTGAATCTCGGTGGTAGATACATAATTGAAATTCTTTATAATTATTTATTTATTTATTTTTGAATTGGAGTCTCACCCTGTCACTTAGGTTGAAGTCCAGTGGCATGCTCATGGCTACCACAACCTCGACCTCCTGGGCTCAGGCGATCTTTCTGCCTCACCCTTCCAAGTAGCTAGAACTATAGGTGGGCATTACCACTAATTGCTCAGCTAATTTTTTTTTTAAATTTAGAGACAGTCTCGCCAAGTTGCCCAGACTCATCTCGAGCCCCTGAACTCAGGCAATCCTCTCATCTCTGACTCCCAAAGTACTGGGATTACAGGCGTGAGCTATTATGCTGGGCAACAATTACTTTTCAATGCATCAAGCTGTGTGCTTAGAACCAATAATTAGACAAGATGTCTGGGAGAATAATGAAATCATTTCCAAAGAACAATCTGAGAAAGGTATGGAAAAATGAAAGTTTAGTTCTAGGAACTGAAAAGGACCCAAAGGTGTTTGAGGGAAAGGGTAGATGATAGTGTTAACTGCTACAGAGGTCAAAGAGGAAACTGTAGTTTGAATCTAGCAGATTGCCCATTTCCAGTTTTGTTCATTGTTAGTTGGGCGTTCCTTGATGACCGAGAAGAGTTCGTACCTGAGAAACTTGAGAAAACCGTTTGGACCAAATCATTTGAAGAGATATTTTTTTACTTGAAAAATACTTTCTATGGTTTCTTTTCTAATTTGTGAATATTTGTTCAATTTTTTAGGAGACTGATGAGCAAAAACTTCACAAAATAGCCAATGAACTTTTGCTTACAGAAAGAGCTTATGTCAACCGACTCGACCTCTTAGATCAGGTAACTTTTTTTTTTTCAGAATTATTTTGTTCTGGCATTATACATCATTTTAACTTAGCAATTAAAGTGTTTTGGAAACTACTCGAAAGGCTTGACCATTTTTGGCTAATGGAAGCTACTTGCTTAAGCACTTTCAGCTTCATCAGTGAATTCGCTAGGTACAAACGTGCTGATTCACAAAGAGTATGAGTCATCTGTATGAGTCACAGAATGTCTTTATCTCTATCCTGGAACCTTAAACACTAGTCTGTTTCTTGACCTTTGATTGTAATCCTGGGGGCCATGTTACCATTACACTCTAAGATACTGGTGTTTTTAATACTAACATTAATATATCATTAATTTTATTTGTCTCATTTGCTGTTTAGCACCGAGTGAGTGGTCTTAGCTGGTGAATAATAGGCCAGATGGGATTTTGAGAGTATATTTGTTCAACCTTGAATGAAACATTTAACATAGCATGGTAGAATAAAGTTGCCCAGTCAACATTTGTTTAATATGTGATTCTGTGACATTTTATCAATGTAGAACTTTGAGTATCTTTTCAAATGACACTCAAATATTTGCAAAATTTAAGAACATGTAAGAATTACTTTTGAAAATTAAGATATCTGAATCCTGTTTCAGCAATAAAGAATAGGACAATTGGTAGCTTGTCTGCTAATACAGACTTCTCTTGTTAGAATAGAACGCTGACATGTCTAGGTGTTAGTTGTAAGAAGAACTATCCTACTTCTGCCACTAGAAAACTGGGATTTCCAAAGCTGGACCAGATTTTATAAATGTGGTACATATATACACAATGGAATGTTATGCAGCCATAAAGAAGGACAAACATATGGACTTTGCAGCAACTTGGATGGATTTAGAGTTGATCATACTCAGTGATCTATCACAGAAACAAAGAACAGAGTACCATATGTTCTCACCCATAATACTATAAGAAAGTGATTGACTATTGTGGGAAACTGTCAGGGGAGGGGGGTGGGATTCACAGTTGAGGGAAACTGCTAGGAGAGGGAGGGGCATACTCATCAACAAGGGTACCTGCATAATCAGCGTTTGTATACCTAACCCTGAATTGAACCCCACATCTTTATAATAAAAAAAAAAGAATAGCAGTTATGTAAAAAAATTTTTAATTTAATTTATAAATTTGAAAAAAGAAAACTGAAATTTCATGGAAACAGGCGTCCTGTGCACACATTATCGTTGGTTCCAAGAAACTACTTGCCTGCTAGGGTAAGCCTTGAGGAGCCAATTTAAGGATTGTGCTCTTTGAAATAATGAACTGGTGGCTCAAATACTCATTTTTCAAGGAATTTCACCAATAAGCCTAAATTGGATCATGTGGGGTTTTCACCTTTGAAATATCTTTTCATCCTCATGGGAATTACAGAGCTGAAACTTTTAGGTATTCCCATAGTAGAGCTATGTCTTTTCCTCTTATAGAGTTGTATAACTTGTCAGCTACTTCTTGTTGCCCTTTTAGAATTTTAGAGTCTTAATTACTACAATATCTATCTATTAGAGTCCCTAAGGACATAATTTTATGTTCTATTGCCTCACAAGAAAATGCAATAGAGGTGAATTTAGAAAATTAACAACCATCTGGACATTATGAAGGAACAGACCTCCTTCTGCCTATATTTAACAGAGTGGCAATTAAGAGGTATAGTAGCCCTGGTGGAGTGTAGCTAAGACTGCAAGTTTCGTTTTTTTGAGTTGAAGTCTCACTCTGTCACCCAGACTGGAGTGCAGTGGTTGCTTCTGGCCTCCGCAGCCTCGACCTGCTGGGCTCCGGCAATCCTTCTGCCTCAGCCTTCCAAGTAGCCGGAATTACAGGCACGAGCTACCATGCCCGGCTGATTTTTTGATTTATTGTAGAGATGAGGTCTCGCCAAGTTGCCCAGGCAGGTCCCGAACCTGCGGCTCAGGCAATCCACTCACCTCAGCTTCCCAAAGCACAGGATTATAGGCTGAGCCACTGAGCCCGGCTCATTTTTTTCTTAATTGTCTACAAGTGACCTATGTATAGGAGAAGATTTTTTCCCCACATATCAGTGTTTTAAGTTATCGTGCATTATTATTTACTGAAATGCACGTAAACATCTGAGAACAAAATATTCTTTTGTTCATTCATTGGCCCCGCCTGTTCTGTTGTGAGAACTAAATCATGATATCCCACTTTTCCAAGGAGCATATGATTTTAATAGAAAATGAAATTTGTGTCACAGACTGCAATAAAGGGCAGTATGTGGTAAGTGCCATAGCAGTCATTCAAAACATTAAGCGTGAAAAATACCACAGTTATTATGTGTAAAGTATTTTCACATCTCTTAACTCTAGCTATGGATGGGAAGGGTAAAGCCTATCAATCTCAGTTGGAAGTTTTCTGCCACAGAAAGAGTAAATTATTTGCCTTAACATTCTTACTTGGTAGAAACATAGCCTAGGTTAGAATCACAGCTTCCTAAATCTTACTTTTGATTCTTCCCAATCGAAGCATATACTCACTCCTGCATTTCAAATAATAATTGATTCCTTAAACCATGAAATTTTTCATTTTCAACAAAAAACTACTAAGAGGCTATTATATGCCTAGCACAGTGCTAGGAGGTTAACAAACACATGTGAAGTAATATCCACTTTATTCTTTTATTCAGGTATTTTATTGCAGACTATTGGAAGAAGCAAACCGAGGCTCATTTCCGGCAGAGATGGTGAATAAAATCTTTTCTAATATTTCATCAATAAATGCCTTCCATAGTAAATTCCTATTGCCAGAGCTGGAGAAACGAATGCAAGAATGGTAAGAGGCTTAGATAGCGGGTGGTATGTCTAAGGCAGTCGCATAGGATGCTGTGTTTCAGCTTTTAAATTGAAATAGAAATGCTGCACACAGACATTTAAGCTAAATTTTTACATAAAAGATCACCGATAGAAGTTATGGTACATTTTCAACTTTAGCTGAAAAGAATTTCATGTCTGCTCTCCAAACTATCCTTTGACTAGTGAATACAAGATAGCAGGGGAAATATGGAGTTTCAAGAATTCCATCACATCCCTCCTTACTATGCCTTTCCTGAACTCCCTCTTAAAAAACGGTACTTCTTAGGCTGGGCGCGGTGGCTCACGCATATAATCCCAGCACTTTGGGAGGCTGAGGTGAGAGGATTGCCTGAGCCCACAGGTTAGAGACCAGCTTGAGCAACATGGCCCCACAACAGAACAGGTGGGACTAATGAATGAACAAAAGAATTTATCATCTCTACAATAAATCAAAAAATTAGTCGGGTGTGGTGGCACGTGCCTGTATTTCCAGCTATTTGGAAGGCTGAGGTGAAAGAATTACTTGAATCCAGCAGGTTGAGGCTGTGGTGGCCATGAATGTGCCACTGCACTCTAGCCTGGGCAACAGAGTGAGATTCCCAATTCAAAAAATAAAAAATTTAAAATAAAAAAGTGCTTCTTCATTCTCTAGCAACCTCATTGCAAGGTAGATCTGAAAACACACAGGGTGTTTATAGAGCATGATTATTTCATCTAGTCCTGTTAATTCACTCATTCTATAAGAATCTTAATGATCTATTTCTATATTTGATATAGGGAAACTACCCCTAGAATTGGAGACATCCTTCAGAAATTGGCACCATTCCTTAAGATGTATGGAGAATATGTGAAAGGATTTGATAATGCAATGGAATTGGTTAAAAACATGACAGAACGTGTTCCCCAGTTCAAATTTGTGGTTGAAGAAATTCAGGTAATAGAACTATTTTGAATTAATTCTTTCCTATAAATCATATGGTCTTCTAGATCTAAAATTGAGATCTGTCTGAGTTACCTAGCTAAAATCCATTCTACTCTAAATTATGCAAAGATGATCTATGCAAAACTAAAATACATATTAAATATATGCCACATACTAAGCAGTAAATTCTCTATTTGCTTTTAAGACTAGCAGAAGTTGGTTTTATTAGGGTCTATGTAAATTTACAAAGTGAGTTCCCATTCAGATCTGTGCCTTTCTTGAATTTTTTTCAGAGGTTGAAATGTTGGAAAGTGTATAAATGAATATAAAGAATGATTGCTACAAACCCTGAGATTTTAGAAACTTTTTTTTTTTGAGTCAGGGTCTCATTCAGTTGCCCAGGCTGAAGTGCAGTGGCATGATCACAGCTTGCTACAGCCTTGACCTACTGGACTCAGGCGATACTTCCACCTCAGCTTTCTGAGTAACTGGGACTATAGGCATGCACCACCATTCCTGGCTAATTTTTTTTTATTGTTTTTGTAGAGACGAGTTCTCACTATGTTGCCCAGGCTGGTCTCAAGCTCCTGGGTTCAAGCAATCCTCTTGCCTTGGCCTCCCAAAGTGCTGGGATTACAGGCATGAGCCACCACACCCAGCCTTTTTGACACAGTTTAAATATTGAAAAGGAATTTTTTAGATCACATAAGCTCTTTGGGATCAGAATTCTGTTGCTCCTTAGCTGTCTTCTTTTGTGTTAAGTAGATATTTTTTATTGGACTATTTGATTCCTCTGATTTTTAAGCTTTTTTTTTAGTTATTTTTCTAGTGGTTGCTCTTGGGATTATAATATGCATCTTAATGTATTACAGTCTACTCTAGGTATACTAATCTTAATTCTAGTAAAATGTAGATGTTTTAATATAACCCTCTCCCCCTCTTCCATGCTGTGTGCTATTAGTGTCCTATATATATTACATTTTTATATGTTTTTAAGTCCAGCAATATAGTGCAATAATTATTGTTTTACATAAATGTGTTTTTAAAAGTTTGGGGGATCCCAGCACTTTGGGAGGCCGAGGTGAGAGGATCGCCTGAGCTCGCGGGTTCGAGACCGGCCTAGGCAACTTGGTGAGACCTCATCTCTACAATAAATCACAAAATTAGCCGGGCATGGTGGCGCATGCCTGTCATTCCAGCTACTTGGAAGGCTGAGGTGGAAGGATTGCTGGAGCCCGGCAGGTCGAGACTGCGGTGGCCGGGAGCGTGCCACCGTCCTCCAGCCTGGGTGACAGAGTGAGACTCCCACTCGCCCCCCAAAAAAAATGCTGGGCTCGGTGGCTCAGCCTGTAATCCCAGCGCTTTGGGAGACCGAGGTGAGTGGATTGCCTGAACCTGTGGGTTCGAGACCAGCCTGAGTAACTTGGCGAGACCTCATCTCTACAATAAATCAAAAAAATTAGCCAGGTATGGTAGCGTGCACCTGTAGTTCCAGCTACTTGGAAGGCTGAGGCGGAAGGATCACTGGAGCCCAGCAGGTTGAGTCTGTGGTGGCCGAGAGCGGCCACTGCACTCCAGTCTAGGCAACAGAGTGAGACTCCAACTCAAAAAAAAAAAGTTTGGGGGGCTGGGTGCATAGTGGTTCACACCTGTAAATCCAGCACTTTGGGAGCCAAATGAGATGGTTGTTTGAGCCCAGGAGTTTGAAACCAGCCTGAGCAACTTACTGAGACATTGTCTCTACAAAAAGTTCAAAGCAAAATATTAAATTATTAGCAAGGCATGGTGGCACTCTCCTGTAGTCTCAGCTACTCAGGAGGCTGAGGCAGAAGGATTACCTGAGCCCAGGAGGTTAAGGCTGTGGTGAACAATGATTGTGCCACTGCATTCCAGCCTGGGTAGCAGAGTGAGACCTCAACTCAATTAAAAAAAAAAAGAGGGATATGAGAGAGAAAATTTATCTATTTTACATTAACCCATGTATTTTGCCATTTCTGAAGTAATTTCCTTTTGGCATGCATGATCTTGTAAAGTAGGTTGGGTAGCAGTGAATTCTGTTATTCTTTGTTTATCTGTAACTACCCTTTTTTTCTTCACTTTTGAATTAAAATGAAGAATGAAATCCAGTTTTTCTGGATACAGAATTCTTGATAAATGGGGTTTCCCCCAGCACTTTGAATATATCATTCTCTGGCTTTCTGTTCTGTTTTTTTGTTTTTGTTTTTTTTTTTTGAGTTGGAGTCTCACTCTGTTGCCCAGACTAGAGTGCACCACCTCAGCCTTCCAAGTAGCTGGAACTACAGGCATGTGCTACCACGCCCGGCTGATTTTTTGATTTATTATAGAGATGAGGTCTTGCCTGCCCAGGCGGGTCTCGAACCCACGGGCTCAGGCAATCCACTCACCTCTGCCTTCCAAGGCGCGGAATTACAGGCTGAGCCACTGAGCCCAGCTGTTCTCTGTTTTTTCAAATGAGAAGTCAGCCGTTAATTGTATTGATACTTTCCTATATGTGATGAGTAATTTTTCTCTTGCTGCTTTCAAGATTTTCCTCTTTGTTTTTAGCCTTCTACTGTAGACTTTTGTGTTTGTCCTAGTTAGAATTGGTTGAGCTGCTTGCAATTGTGGATTGAGACTTTAAACAAAAATTTTTTTTGAGAAGTTTTCAGCCATTATTCAGATATTTTCTGTCTTACTCTTTTTTTTTTTCTCTCTCTCTCTCTCTCTCTGACTCCCATTACACAATACACAAATATTGGTGGGTTTTTTTTTTTTTTTTGAGATGGTGTCTCACTACGTTGCTCAGTCTGGCCTCAAACTCCTGGGCTCAAGCAAGCCTTTCATTTCAGCCTCCCAAGTATCTGGGTCTATAGGCATGTACTACCCAGCTGATGTTGGTATTCTTGGTGTTATTCCACAAGTTTCTGAAGCTATTCATGCTTCCTCTTCCTATTGTTCAGATTATACAATTTTTTTCTTTGAGTTCTCTGATTCTTCTATTTCAGCTCTGCTGTTGAAACAAATGAATCTTTCATTTCAATTATTCTCCTTTTCAACTGTAGGATTTCTATTTAGTTCTTTTTTTTTTAAATCATGTCTGTATCTTCCTGGAAAATTGCTGTTTGTGCATTCATTGTTGTCCTACTTTCCTTGAATTCTTCTAGCATTATTTTATTTCCTTTAATATATTGATAATAGCTACATTGAGGCTGGGCTTGGTGACTCAGCCTGTAATCCCAGCACTTTGGGAGGCCAAGGCGTGTAGATTACCTGAGTCCATGGATTCGAGACCAGCCCGGGCAACTTGGTGAGACCTTGTCTCTACAATAAATCAAAAATTAGCTGGGCATGGTAACACGCATCTGTAGTTCCATCTACTTGGAATACTGACGTGGAAGGATTGCCTAAACCCAACAGGTTGATGCAGGGGTGGCCATGAGTATGCCATGACACTCTAATCTGGGCAACAGAGTGAGTGAGACTCCAACTTAAAAAAAAAAAAAGCTACATCCAACATCTGAGGGTACCCAGAGACAATTTCTTTTTTTAAAATTTACATCACTTCAGTGGATACATATTTGAATCTTTCAAAATGACTGACTTGTTTCCAGTGGGAAAACCAAATTAAAAATAACTTGATCATCTTGCTTCAGCATAACTGTTCACATACCATACTCCATCCATGTAAAAGTAAATTCAGCTTTTCTGTATCAGAGATAAAACCTACTTAACAAATTCAGTGGTTTTGAATCTTTCATAAACAGCATGAAAATATGTGTTGGTGGGGATTTTCCAGGATGTGACTATATGTAGCTTTTTATTCTGTGTATTAATGCATTGAAACAAAATATTAAATTTATATGAAATATAGATATGAGAATATTCCATTCTATTCAAACCTATTAAATAATCCAAAAGTTTCATAATTCAATCTTAGAAATTCTTGGAGCTGTGAGCATATCTTATTCAGAAATGTGACCTGTACACAAACTCCCAGAAAAGTTCAGAAAAATATATGAATAGTCTTCTAATTTAAGAGTTGATTGATTTGCCAAATGATGCAGCCAGGTTTGCTTCTCTAAAAGCTTTCAATAAGGTCAGATGTACATGACAGACTCTAGCTGTATTTTCACAGGATGCTCCATATTTCTTTCTTTCTTTTTTTAAACCTAGATAATTCACCACGTGCTATAATATGTCTGTACCTTCCAAGTACTACAAGTGGAAATCTTCAGTATCAAAAAGACCTTCAAGGATTTCTAACTTAGACTCTTTTTCAGTGATAGGATGCCAGTGTTGGTAAACTATGGTCCATAATCCAATGTGGGCTGCTGTCTTGTCTGTACTGTCCATGAGCTAAAAATGATTTTGTTTTGGAATGATTAAAAATAAATATAAAGAATATTTTATGACATATAAAAATATACAGAATTTAAATTTCAGTGTCCACCAATCTAATTTTATTGGAACTTAGTGATACTCATCTCTGTGTATATTATTGATGGCTGCTCTTATGTCTACAGGAGAGTGGAGCAGTCACAGCAGAGTCTGATCCACAAAATGTCTGGCCCTTTTTAAAAATTATTTTTATTTTTGAGAAAGCAGGATTTATTGAGAGGATAGAAAAGCTCCCACAGTGGGAGGGGACCTAAAGGTGTTGTCCCACCTTTAATAAAAAGTTTGCTGATTCCTGATACAGTCCATCCCTGCTATAATGGTCTCATGAAATTATCATTTAAACTGAGTTAGAATCCAATTACAGGGAACTTTCTGCTCTTTGGACTTGAGTGTGTTTTTGTTTGCTGCTTGATTAGGCCTAGGATGCTCCATATTTCAAAGCAAGAGCAGTTCCATTTATTATTTCCCCACACCTGAACTGAGAACATGTGATCCCAGTACTCTGTTGATTTCTGCCCAAAAATCTTCCCCACACCTTCTGATACTTGGAGACAATTTCTAATGACTGCCATTTTTGTCACTGTAGAGCTTATTTTACTGTGTCTTTGAATATCTCATAATTTTCTTGCTGAATATTGTACATTTTAAGTTATTTATGGTAGCAAACCTAGAGTCTAGTTTTCCCCACTGAAAGTGGTTGTGATGACTTTGTTTCTTTGTTTAGTAACTTTAGACTAAATTTGTAAAATCTCTCCTCATGTGCAGTCACTGATATCTCCACTCAATTTTGTGTCGAATGTTTTTGTGTTTATTTATAAATCTGGCTTTAGAGATCGTCCATATGTCTTTGTAGGTTAGGAGTCAACTATTATTGGACGAAGGTGCTCAATTACTAAGAACCAAGAAGTTTCTGATGATGATGACCCTGGCTATGGGAGCACATTTAAAGATCAGAGCGTGTTCAAGTCCCCTGAGCCGTTTCCAATCTCCTGTCAACACGTGCACAGCCTCAGGGTGGACAGGAGAGTGTGCTGGCTTGGGTCTTCTCTGGCCTCTGCTGATCATTCACATAGCATGAGCCAATGAAATGACTGTCACAGTCGGGCACAGTAGCTCAAGCCTGTAATCCCAGCACTTTGGGAGGCCTAGGCAAGAGGATTGCCTGAGCCCAGGGGTTTGAGACCAGCCTGGGTAACTTGGTGAGACCTCGTCTCTACAATATATCAAAAAATTAGCCGGGCATGGTAATGCGCACCTGTGGTTCTAGTTTCTTGGAAGGCTGAGGTGGAAGGATCGCCTAAGCCCAGCAGGTTGATGGAGTGAGACTCTGACTGGAAAAAAAAAAAAAAGGCCGATCCCATCCACAGCCACAGCTTCAGGACGTCAGGCTAGCATAAGTCACCCACCTCAGAGATCTTCACTTCTACTGATGATGTTGCTGCATGTGTGTGTCGCCCACTGCTCTGAACTGAATGAGCCCTTTTCTCAGCCTCTTAGAGAAGAGCTGCCAGTCCTCACTCCTGCACCACCTTCATATTGGCTGAGCTGAGAGAGGGAGGGGAGCAGCCCAGGTTAGGATGCCACAGAGTCTCACTGCTCTTACCCTAAGTTCAACTATTTTTAAAGCACACACATTTCAGATTATTGCATGCCTTTGATTAATTTCTAAAATGCTGAAAATGGTTGCTTTGTCCATTTTACCTAGCTTTACAACTGCTTTTAATCGGAAGGATTTGCCAGTCTTCTCATTCAGCCATAGCCAGAAATCCCACATCGTCCCCTTCACTCCTTTTTTTTTTAACATTCGTGTGTGTGTGTGTGTGTGTGTGTGTGTGTGTGATTAAGCAGTCACCTATATTTCTTAACATTGGCTCCTTCTTTAATTCTCTCACCATTTCTAGCCCTTTCTGCCAATAATGAAATATGGGGAGAGCACAGGGTTTGCCTTCCACAATCTTACTCTTCACACCCCAGTGATACCCTATTTCCCCACTCTTGAACCATCTTGCCTGACAGATGGCTCCAGTGTTGTTGTGTCTAGCCGAATTCTCCATCCTTAAACTCTAGTTACAAATGGCCAAGTGCTACTTACACAGTTCTGTAACAAAACCTATATTTTCTCTTCCTATCTTTAGCACCAAAGCATTTCTTTTTTCCATTGTACTTTTGGGACCTTGCACAGAGTGGATAATAATTCTGATATGTATTGAGTGTATTAGAGGATGCCATTATTCTCTCATGTATCAGAGTTTGAAAACTGAGCTTTAATATTTGATTGGTTACTTTCTTCACTCTCTGTATGTGTTCATTTGCCTGTTCTTAGCATAGTGTTTGTTGCATAGGAAATGCTCACTAAATGATGGTAATGATGGTGGTGATTATTGTTGTTTTATCAAACTCTAAATTCTATCTCTGTAGTGTCTGTTTTCTCTGTATTTTGAGAAAATGACATGGGTTGTGAAGAGAGTGGTAGCCTGGGAATCAACTAACCTAGTTTAAGACTAGGGTCTGTTACTTATAGTTAGTTAACCCTAGAAAACTCTGATTTCTGTGAACCACGGTTCAATTTTTCATGTAAAAATTTGAGGATCAGTAATATTTTCCTGAATATATATAATAAGTTTGTTGGGTAATGTTAACCTTGTGTACACATAAATCTTAATACTTTCCAACTTGTCAATGAACAGTTATTTAATAAAGAATTTGACTGACTTAAAAAAAGTTAGGATAAATCAGATGAGATAATTAAACTTGTAAAATTAATATCTTATACTTTATTAAGGAAAGCTATAAATTCCCTCAGCTTCAATGCCAATTTCTGGCTCTTATTACTTTCTTCCTGATTTATAGTAATAACTTCCAAACTAGTTTCCCACATTCCCCTAAAGCCACGCTGCCCTAGGTTAATCTAACAACAGATCTAGTGATATTATTCCCTAGCACAGAAACCTGCATTAGGTGAAGCAAATCTAAACTCAGCATGGGTTTGAAGGTTCCTTTTTTTTTTTTTTTTTTTTTTGAGTCAGGGTCTCACTGTCACCTGGCTGGAGTCATGATGATCACGGCTCACTGCAGCCTTGACTTCCTGGGCTCAGGCGATCCTTCCACCTTAGCACCCAAGTAGCTGGGACTACAGGCATAGACCATCATGCCTGGATAATTTTTTTGTTTTTTGTTTTGGTACAGATGAGATTTTTCTATGTTGTCCAGACTGGACTTGAATTCTTGGGTTCAAGCAATCCATCTGCCTTGGCCTCCCAAAGGGCTGGGATTACAGGAGTGAGCCACCACCCATGGCCATGGCTCTGAAGGTTCTTGACATTATGTCCTCATATTACCTTTTCTTCCTCATCCTCGATTTTCCTCTAATTATCTTATTTGCCAAGAAAGCCCATCTACCCTTTTTACTGAATGTGCTTCATGTCCATATTGCCTCACTGTGGTACTCATCAGAAGTTGTGTTAAGTGCTCCCTTCTCTGGGAAGCCTTTAGTTACTTGTTTGCTTCGAATGCAGACATCATGTCTTAATACAACTTTTCTACCCTGCAGTGCCTTGATCATGGTGTGAGTTCAGTAAATTTTTTTTTTTTTTTGAGTTGGAGTCTCACTCTGTCGCCCAGACTGGAGTGCAGTGGCCGCTCCCGGCCGCCGCAGCCTTGACCTGCTGGGCTCCGGCGATCCTTCCGCCTCAGCCTCCCAAGTAGTCAGAATTATAGGCATGCGCTACCACGCCCGGCTGATTTTTTTATTTATTGTAGAGATGAGGTCTCGCCTGCCCAGGCGGGTCTCAAACCTGCGGGCTCAAGCAATCCTCTCACCTCAGCCTCCCAAAGGCGCGGGATTACAGGCTGAGCCACCGAGCCCGGCTTCAGTAAATATTTTAAGGGAACTTTTGCTCTGTTTAATATGAACAAGACATACCTTATTTTTTTCCTCTCTTATATTAACAGCTTATTGAAAGCAAGCAATACAGACTTAATTTTGCCCCAAGATATGGAGCTCTGGTTACAGTTTGGCTTCTAGTGAAAAAGAATGCCTTGAACTAATGTAAAATTAAAATTTTTTGACAGATAACAAGATGCCCAGATCTTGCCATTGTTCTATATGGAGTCGTTTTTTAAGTTCAAAGGAAATGACATTTATGATAGCCTTATTATGAAATAGTTTCTGCTGAGTCCAAAGTCATTTAATAGGGTTGTGCTTAGCAAATCTCATTATATGATTGAATAATATGATTTCACAAACCCTTGTTGTGACTAACAGAACTGGTTGCTAGCAAACTAGAATTTTCTTGCTTAATATTCTGTCTGGTTTTTTTCTTTCTGTTCTTACAGTAGATTGGTGACCCTCAAACTTTAATATCCTAGAAATGTGGGATGTTTTAAAATGCATATTTTCAGGTTTCTTCACCAAAGATTGTGATCTCATAGATTGAGGTTGAGTTTAGAAATCTGCTTTTTTTTTTTTTTTTTTCCTTCCCTCCTGTGGAGACAGACTCTCACCCTGTTGCCCAGGCTGGTCATGAACTCCTGGCCTCAAGCAATCCTCCTGCTTAGTCTCCCAAAGTGTTGGGATTATTACAGGCATGAACCACCATGCCTGGCCCAGAAATGTGTATTTTTAAAAGCTCCCTAAGTATATCTAATGTAGGTGATACCCAGTCACACTGTGTGGAAAAGTACCGCCCTTGATAAAGGTTCTGTATTGCAGTGAGTTGTTAGACTAGCTAACCTAATTTTTAAATGTTTCCTTGAAAACCTTTCTCATTACAGAAACAGAAAATCTGTGGGAGCTTAACTTTACAGCACCACATGCTGGAACCTGTACAGCGGATCCCTCGGTATGAGATGCTTCTTAAGGACTACCTGAGGAAATTGCCCCCTGACTCCCCAGACTGGAATGATGCTAAAAGTACGTGCTTACTCTTCCCCCCATCTCCATTGTGGGATAATCAAATGGTCGAGTTGCCTTGTAGTTTCAAAACGAGATATGTCTCACAGTTCCTTTAGTCAAAAATTGCTGTCAGAAAATAATCTCACTGGAAATTGTTATCAACACCTCAGTTAGCCGAATCACTTTGAGCCCAAATCATAAGTTTAGAGCAGTGCGAAATCACATTTCTCATGCTGGTCTCACATTCATCACCAACTCTGAAATATAAAACTATAGTCTTAGAGACCTCTAGAATAGCAATACACAATTACCTTCTCACAGGAAGAATACAACTATTCAGAATTACAAGTGCTGCTGTTTAATTAGGTTGATGTATAGCAAGAAAGCTAACATGATACTTACTACATAAAAATAACCTAAGGACAGTTGACTTTCCCCACCCCTCCGGAAATAACTGCTTTTTATTGTCTGATAACCTTTGTCCAAGAAAATTTTACTCCACTTCCGCTAGAGGTCTCTTATTTTTTCATTAGACTAAAATGAAAAGTGGGTATTCTTAAAGGTTTATGAATTTCAGTAGTACTTTAGCTTTCTCATGCCCTTTTTTTTTTTTAAAAAAATGAGGCATGGTCTTACTATGGCACCCAGGCTGCAGCCTCTATCTCCTGCGCTCAAGGGATCCTCCCACCTCAGCCTCCGCATCATTGTGCCTGGTTACGTTTTTTGTTTTTTTGTATGTCACCCTGGCTGGACTCAAACTCCTGACTTCAAGCTATCCTCCCACCTCCAAAGTACTGGGATTACAAGCATGAGCCACTGTGCCCAGCTTCTCATGCACTTTTAAAAATCAACCAACTATAAGAGAAAATAAGAATAAGAACAAGACATAAGAATGGCTGCCAGGCCTGATGGCTCAAGCCCTGTAATCCTAGCACTTGGGAGGCTAAGGTGGGAGGATTACTTGAGTCCAGGAGTTCGAGACCAGCCTAGGCAACACAGGAGGACCTCATCTCTACAAAAAATTGAGAAATTACCTTGGCATGGTGATGTGCACCTGTAGTCCCAGCTACTCAGGAGGCTGAGGCAGAAGGATTGCCTGAACCCAGGAAGTCGGGGCTGTGGTGAGCCATATAGTGACACTGCACTCCAGCCTGAGTGACAGAATGAGACCCAGACTTAAACAAACAAACACGAAAATAAAACATACACACACACACACAGAATGGTTTGATATTCAACAAGTAGTAATGATACTGGTGTGCAATCTTAAAGCATTACTACTTTTTCTTGGAATTTCTTGTTTTGTTTTTTTGTTTTGTTTTGCTTTGGAATCTTACTATGCCCATGTCAAAAATGAGAAAGTTGGTGACATAATAGGACATTTTATTATACTTTTTGGTTTTCACTTGCTAAACTAAAATTCTACAGAATTCACAGACTAGGGGCTTTTAGTGACCTAAAAGTAGGTGGGAAAGCAACAAAAGTGCTTTCTGTTCAACAGTGCAAGAAAGACAGAAAGTGTAGTCCAGAAGTCTTGGGGTTGTTGTGGTGACAGAATTAATGAGACCAGTATCCACAGGAAAGAAAAGAAAGGAGAAAAATAGGACATGGTTTGGGATTGAGAGGCACTCTCTGGGGCTGGTCCAACGGGAGGCCTGGGCATCCCCAGCTTTTCACCAACAGTCCCTGGAGCTCCTACAGTGTCCATAATAAAGAGTCCCATTCCCATCTGTCACTACTACCTGCCCCAGCATCAGAACCTCTAACCACTGGCAACAGAACCTGAATCAGGCTTGGATTGTGAGTGTGTTTTTCCAAAGAGTGTTGATTATGCTTAGTGGTTAATTTGCTCATAAAACTAGTAAACTACTACTGCTGAAATATCTTAGAACTTTGAGTCAGTAGACCTGGGTTTAAATCTGGCCCTACCATATCAGGTCGTGTGACCTTAGCCAAGTTGCGTCACGTCCCCAGCCAAATGGAGCCAACACACATTTAAGGCTGTGTAAGGATCAACTGGCATTTTTGTGAAAGCACCTGGCATAGTACCTTGTATCAAGTTAGAGTACACTGTAAGTTACAAAGGCTTTGAGTATGTAAGAAGCTGAGAGCCAAGCAGAGTGGAGTGTACCTGTAGTCCCAGGTACTGCAAGGCTGAGGCAGAGGGCTCACTTAGGTCAGGAGTTCTGAGTTGCAGTGAGTTATAATCACATTCCTGTGAATAGCCACTGCAATCCAGCTTGGGCAACATAGCAAGATCCCACCTCTGAAAAAATTTAAAAATAAATATTAAAAGGAACTTTTTTTTTTTTTAATTTTTTTTAGTCAGGGTCTTCCTCTGTTGTCCAGGCTAGAGTGCGGTGGCATGATCACAACGCTCACAGCAGCCTCTACCTCCTGGGCTCAAGTGATCCTTCTACCTCAGCATCCTGAGTAACTGGGACTACAAATGTGTACCAGCTACTTTTTTTTCTTTTTGAGTCAGAGCCTCATTGTTACCCAAGCTGAAGTACAGTGGCACGCTCATGGCTACTGCAGTCTCAACCTGATGGGCTCAGGCAATCATTCGGCCTCAGCCTTCCAAGTCGCTGGAACTGCAGGCATGGGCCACCTGACTGTGGAGATGAGGTCTTGCCAAATTGCCGAGACTGGCCTTGAACCCCTGAGCTTAGGCAGTCCTCTTGCCTCCGCCTCCCAAAGTGTTGAGATTACAGGCATGAGCCATCACACATTATTTTACTTTTTTTTTTGTAGAGACAATTTTTCACTATGTTGCCCAGGCCGGTCTTGAATTCCTTGGCCTCAAAGTGCTGGGATTACAGGCATAAACCACCACACCCAGACCAAAAAATCGAATTTTTATTTACATTTTAGAGAGCTATTCTGATTTGGGCAATTCTTTGCACTAGATACAGAATCCAGGATAGAGAGGGAGACAAAATAAGATGGGCCAGGGCCACTGCTCAAGAGACAAGTTCCAGCTACAGCAGTTTGTTTCTACCTCTGCTTGTTGATTTGGAAGGTCTATGGTGAATTAAATAAACCTGTGCACCTCATTGTTGTGTATGACTTTTGGTCAGAAAATGCTTTCAAGTTTCAAGTAATTGCTTACAAATGAACTTTAGAAAGTATCCACTTTGTAAATGGGAATTGCCCTACTCTTGTGTGTCTTTGGTCTCAAATTTCTTATTTTAGTGAATAAGTTATTCACCTATACAGTAGCATAGGAAGGACAAGGCATATTTATTTACTTTTCTTTTTTTCCCATTTAGAATCACTTGAAATTATATCTACAGCAGCAAGCCATTCTAATAGTGCAATAAGAAAAATGGTAAGTGGTTTTCAGAGGAGACAGGAACCTGGTTAGACAATTGTCATTAATATCACCCAATATTATCTGTAGGTTTGGACCAAAGGGAACTGAAATAGGTGAGCCAAAAAGAATATTTACAAAATGTTTAGTGTTGTTTGCAAAAATCCTCTCAACTTGCTGATAACTGATGCATTTTATACCAAAATGTATCCTTATTCCCAATCCCTTCTTGAATTTTTTAGATTTTAGTTAACGCTAAAGCCACTAAGTTGAAACTTCCCTATATTTGATCTTGCTGTGTTTTGTTTTAATTTTCTAGGAGAATCTAAAGAAGCTCTTAGAGATTTATGAAATGTTGGGCGAAGAAGAAGACATTGTAAACCCTTCAAATGAACTGATAAAAGAAGGACAGATTCTCAAACTAGCTGCTCGGAACACATCAGCACAAGAACGCTACCTTTTCTTAGTGAGTTATAATGCTCAGCAAGTCACATAAGAATAATTTATTTAAAACATGTATATATCTTGAAGAAGTAGCAGCCTTCCTTGTTCACCAAGGCAATTACACCTAACCTGGTTTAGTAAACACTGTTGAGAATCCATGTAAGGAGTGTTCTAAGTCAGCAGTCCCCAACCTTTTTAGCACCAGGGAACAGTTTCACGGAAGATGATTTTTCCACGGGTTGTCGGGGAGGTATGTAGGAGGGCTGATGAGGATCATCAGGTGTTAGATTCTCATAAGGAATGCACAGTCTGGATCCCTCACATATGCAGTTCACAATAGGATTTGCCTCCTATGAGAATCCAGTGCCTCCACTGATCTGACAGCGGACAGAATTCCTCTTGTCCACCACTCACTTCCCGCTGTACAACCCAGTTCCTTACAGGCCACAGACCACTACCAGTCCATGACCTGGGGGTTGGGGACCCCTGTTCTAAGTAACTAAGATGATTTTTTTTTTTTGAGTTGGAGTCTCACTCTGTCACCCAGACTGGAGTGCAGTGGCATACTCGGGGCCACCCCAGCATTAACCTGCTGGACTCCAGCGATCCTTCTGCCTCAGTCTTCCAAATAGCCAGTACTATAGGCGTGCACTATCACACCTGGTTAATTTTTTATTTATTGTAGAGACAAGGGCTCGCCAAGTTGCCCTGGCTGGTCTCGAACCTGCAGGCTCAGGCAATAGTCTCCCAAAGTGATAGGATTACAGGCTGAGCCATCCAGCCCGGCCAAGATGATGTTTTTCTATATATTTAGTGGAAATCATTAAATCATTTATTTCAGTAGCACATACTGAAGAAGATGAAACTCTACTCACAGATAGGATATTCTTTCTGAAATCATCCTTTTTCTTGTTTCACATTTTCTCTTTCATTCTTACAGGCAAATGGATGTCACTTCCTATATATTTTGTTGGTGTACTGATGATAGTTCTCTTAATCCTCTATGATCACAATTTTTAATCTTTCTAGGTTAAAACACTATGCAGGCATAGTTTTAACAATAGTGTCTAGAATATAGAAAAAGTACATGAGTTTGCTACATAGTTCTTTCTCACTGCTGTCAGTTCTTGATCCTTTTCTTTGTTTCCTGGAAATGAGAATCTGGAGCGTATCTCAAATGTAAGAGCACTTCCTGGGGTATCCAGGCCATTATTATTTTTATTCTCTGTTCATATGACCTTTATTCTTTGCTACTTTAGTGAATTTAAGTTCCTGTCTATATCTAATAAGAATCCTAATAATAGCTAGCATTGGCCGGGCTCGGTGGCTCAGCCTGTAATCCCAGCACTTTGGGAGGTCGTGGTGAGTGGATTGCCCGAGCCCATGGGTTCGTGGCCTGCCTGGGCAACTTGGTGAGACCTCATCTCTACAATAAATCAAAAATTAGCTGGGTGTGGTAGCGCGCGCCTGTAGCTCCAACTACTTGGAAGGCTGAGGGGGAAGGATCACCAGAGCCCAGCAGGTCGAGACTGCAGTGGCTGGGAGCAGCCACTGCACTGCAGTCTGGGTGACAGAGTGAGACTCCAACTCAAAAAAAAAAAAAAAAAAATAGCTAGCATTGGCAAAGAGTAAGCTGATACTGAATAATCACTCAATACATGTTAGCTATTGTTATGGTTATTATTAGAGAGAAAGAAACAGGCACATTGGTAAAGGGACTGCCTAGTGACTGGCACATGATACATTCTCAGGCTGTTATTCATGTGTGACTTTTCTGCTGCAAAGCAGTCATCTTACCAGCCATATTTGAGTTTTCATTGAAGGCTTAGTGGTTTCTGTTGTCTATTTCCAGCTCCCTTGAGAGGAAAACTTATAGGAACTGTCATGCAGAGGAGTGTATGGTATGAAGGGTCCTTAAAAAGTTCGTGGAAGTTGTGTATTATGAAAACCTATGCATGAATTTTAATTTTTTTTCCACCAAAATGCACTCTTACTAACTTCTGCTAAAATGAAAACCAAAACAAACATCAAACTTATGGTGAAGCTTGGGTGGAAGAGTGGTGAAATTAATGATGCTTTATGAAAAGTTCATGGGGAGAGTTCCCCCTCAAAATCAGGAGTTTACAAATGGATAGCTTGTTTTAAAAAGGGAAGAGGGCCTAGCGCAGTGGCTCATGCCTGAAATTCCAGCACTTTGGGAGGCTGAGGTGAGAGGATTGCCTGAGCCCAGAGGTTCAAGACCAGCTTGGGCAACTTCGCAAGACCTTGTCTCTACAATAAATCAAAAATCTAGCCGGGTGTTGTGGCACACACCTGTAGTTCCAGTTACTTGGAAGGCTGAGGTGGAAGGATTACCTGAGCCTAGCAGGTCAAGGCTACAGTGGCCATGAGAGTGCCACTGTACTCCAGCATAGGTGGCAGAATGAGACTCCAACTCAAAAAAAAGTGTGTGTGGGGGGGAGATAATGTTGAAGAAAACCACAGCAGCAGAACATATATATCCGTTTGCCAGGAAAAAACTCATCTTATTCATTCCTTAATTGAAAAGGACCAATGATCTGACCATTAACGAAGAAACAGTAGCCAATACCGTAGACCTCTTGATTGGTTCAGGCCACACAATTCTGACTGAAAAATTAAAGTTGAGCAAACTTTCTACTTGGTAGGTGCTCAAATTGTTGCACCCAGATCAACTGCAGACAAGAGCAGAGCTTTCAAAGGAAAGTTTAAACAAGTGGGATCCAGATCCTGAAGCATTTCTTCAAAGAATTGTAAGAGGAGATAAAACACAACTTTACTAGTATAATCCTGAAGACAAAGCACAATCAAAGCAATGGCTACCAAGAGGTGGAAGTGGTCCAGTCAAAGCAAAAGTGAACCAGTCAAGTGCAGTGGTCATGGCAACAGTTTTCTGGGAAGCTGAAGGCATTTTGTTTGTTGACTTTCTGAATCGCCAAAGAATGATAACAGCTGTTTATTGTGAGAACGTTTTGAGAAATGTATCCAAAACTTTAGCAGAAATACATCTGGGAAAGCTTTACCAGAGAGTTCTTTGCTATAACAATGTTCCTGCTCATTCCTCTCATCAAACAAGGATAATTTTCAAAAGTTTCAATGGGAAATGATTAGGCATCCTGGATTCTTCTGACTTCTTTTTTATTTTTGAGTTGGAGTCTCACTCTGTTGCCCATACTGGAGTGCAGTGGCCACTCCTGGCCACTGCAGCCTCGACCTGCTGGGCTCCGGCGATCCTTCTGCCTCAGCCTTCCAAGTAGCTGGAACTACAGGCGTGCGCTACGATGCCCGGCTAATTTTTTTTTTTATTTATTGTAGAGATGAGGTCTCACCAAGTTGCCCAGGTGGGTCTCAAACCCGTGGGCTCAGGCAGTCCACTCACCTCAGCCTCCCAAAGCATGGGATAACAGGCTGAGCCACCGAGCTCGGCTTTATTTCTTAATCTTAACAAACTGTAAAGGCCCCCCATTTTTTTTTTTTTTTTTAGTTAATAAAGTAAAAATGGGTACTTTATTAAATTTCCAAGAGCCTCAGTTCTTTAGGGATGCTACATGGTTGGTATTATCAATTACAGAATTTGAACTTGATTGAGCCTATGTTGAGAAATAAGTTAACATTTTTTGTTTTTATCTTTTAATTCCATTTCTCTATAACTTTTTGAAGTCCCTTTGTATCTCTCAGTTTTTTAAAGGAACATTTGATTAACACATGACCCACCAGTTTCTACCCCAAGTTTGTGTAGCTCAAGAAAACTCAAAACATGTCTGCACAAAAGCTTGTACGTCATTGTCCATAGCAGCATTAAATATAATAGCCAAAATGTAGAAACAACCTAAATGTCCATCAACTGACAAATAGGTAAATAAAATAAGGTATACCCTTGCCACAGAATACTATGTATCAATAAAAAGGAATAAAAACTGATACATGCTACATGGATGAACTTTAAAGACATTGTGTCAAGCCGGGCTTGGTGGCTCAGCCTGTAACCCCGCGGTTTGGGAGGCTGAGGTGAGTGGATTGCCTGAGCCCGCAGGTTCGAGACCCGCCTGGGTAACTTGGCCAGACCTCATCTCTACAATAAATCAAAAGTTAGCTGGGCGTGGTAGCGTGCGCCTGTAGTTCCAGCTACTTGGAAGGCTGAGGCGGAAGGATCGCCAGAGCCCAGCAGGTCGAGGCTGTAGTGGCCAGGAGCGGCCACTGCACTCCAGTCTGGGCAACAGAGTGAGACTCCAACTCAAAAAAAAAGACATTGTGTCAAGGGAAAGAAGCCAATCACAGGCCGCATACAGTATGATTCCATTTCTTTGAAATGTCTAGAATAGGCAAATACATGGGGGGATGGGGTACAAGGTTTCCTTTTAGAGTCATAAAATGTCCTGGAGTTCCTGGTAATAGTTACACAATTTACAACTGCCCAAAAAATTATGATTTGTACATTTTAAAATGATAGATTTTATGTTATGTAAATTTTATCTTAGTAATTTCTAATATATATATATTTCAGATTAGCTATAAAAGTTCTTATTTGTGTTAAACAGAAGTGCTTCACCTTTCACAATTTCTGCAGAGCCAAATAGAAAATAAAGACATATAAATCATGTGAGGGTTCAGAGGTCTATTGTATCATATAGATTTTATTAGTAGTATTCAGGTATGGCAAGGTCAACAGGTCAGGAGACAATTGCCATTGAAAAGACAGATCCCAGGCGGAGGGGGCATGCCACACAACGAAGAGGGAGGGCAGTGAGCAAGCACCAGGGTCAGGCAAGCGACAAAAGGAGCAAGCCGAAAACGTGGGCAAGAGTGTTATCTGTGGTTTTTGCAGGAAGGAATGGGCAAGACAGAGTAACAGGCTTGGGACTGGCTCATTTGAATGATTTTTTTGAACCGCAAGGGCTGTCTTCCTGGCCCTCCGGTGATTAGGGCAGGAGAAAAGTGGCCCTGAGAATAAGAGCTTGATATAGAGGAGATGGTTGGGGATGTGGAGTCTGGATTGGTTGGTTT